CGGTAGTGGGATAGAAGGAGCCGAAGCGCTCACCGATGCAGGTGCCTTCGCCATTGACAATCATGGTCTCTGCCATGGGGTAGTCGTCGCCGGCCGCGGAAGCACTCTCAACGCAACTGATGGTGCCCACAAAGGCCACCAAACCCACCTGGAAGAGCGTCGCATCGCAGATCGTTTTTATGGACGCCGAAGTCGGTGAATAAGCCGCCGCCGTAGACAAAGTGGCTGCAAAAGATGTCATTGAACAGGGCCCCATCGTCATGGAACCCGTCGTAGGAGATGTAGCCGGTGTAGCCGTTGAAGATATTGCTGTGGACCTTGTTCGTGGCGGTGTTGCAGGAGCCGCAGAAGCCGTGGCCGTACAGGTAATCGAGGTGCTTGTATAGGATGAAGTCGGGGGAGGCGCCGGAGAAAAGGACATTGTTGTAGAAGCCATCGCTGTAAACAGTGTGGTCGTAAAGGATGTGGATGTCGCGAATACTCTCGTAGCGATCTCAGCCGTGATGGATGAGACTGTGCGGCGCGTGGATAATGATGATGTCGTTGTCAGGGATGCAGTTGTGAAGGAGGCCACGGAGGACGTCGGCGCAATGTAGTTGGATGCTGACGATGTGGTTGCGTTACCTGGTGTTGTGCAAGGAGCAGTGGTGAAGGATGAAGCTGTAGAAGCTGTAGTCGTAGATGGTGTTCTCGTGATGGCCATGGTCGTGTAAAGCATGCGATTGTAGCAAATGTGGCTGCTGGCGTAGTGGCTGTGGTCATAAGGGAAGCTTTCAAACACCATGCGGCCGAAAAGGGTCTCGTTGTAGGAAGTATTGGTGGGTGAGGCCGGCGGAGAGGTTGATGTTGATCCTGTAGTAGTCGATGATGTTGACGTAGAAAATGTCTGCATTGAAGATGCTGATGTAGAGGGTGTGGTCATTGGTAATGTTGACGGTGAAGATGTGGCCGACGAGCCTGTCGATGTACAAGATATGACCGGCACTGATGTAGAAGATGTGGCTATCAAAAGCAATGATGCACAGGATTCGGTAGTAAAGATTTTGATGTACAGAGATGTCGTCGGCGAGCATGATGATGTAACGCATGTGGTAGTCAATGGTGTGGCCTTAGAAGGTGTGGTCGCCAGCATTGTTGACGTAGAGGATGTAGTAGACGACGATGTTGATGTAGAAGATGTCGTCGGCGAACAGGTTGATGCAGAGGGTGTGGTAGTCGATGACGTAAATGTACGAAGGGATACCAGCTTCAGATGCGAAGCATCCGATGTAAATGTAGAAGGTGTGGTCGCCGGCATTGTTGTTGTAGAAGATGTGGTCGTCGACGATGTTGACGTGGAAGGTGTCGTCCATGTTGGTGTAGAGGATGTGGTAGCCGCTGATGTGGGTGTAGAAGGTGTGGTCGCCAGCATTGTTGATGTAGAAGATGTGGTAGTGGACGATGTTGGCCTGGAGGATGTCGTCCGCGAATAGGTTGATGTAGAGGATGCGGTAGTCAATGATGTGGGTGTAGAAGCAGTGGTCTTTAGCAACGTTGATGTCGTAGAGGTTGTAGTCCTTGATGTAGAAGACGAGGTAGTCGGCGATGTTGACGTAGAGCATGCGGTAGGCGACGATGCTGATGTAGAAGGTGTGGTAGCCGGCGGTGCATATGTAGAGGCTGTGGTAGTCGGCGACGTTGATGTAGAGCATGTGGTAGCCGACGATGCTGCTGTAGAAGATGTGCCCATCGAAGATAACGACGTGGAGGATGTGGTAGCCGATGGAGCTGATGTAGAAGATGTCGTCTGCGAAGACGTTGATGTAGAGGACGCGGTAGTCGATGATGTGGGTGTAAGAGGTGCGGTTGTCAACATTGCTGATGTAGAAGATAAGGTAGTCGACGACGTTGATGGAGATGATTGGAGATGTGCTCGGCGAACATGTGTATGTAGACGTAGTGGTCGCCAGTAATGTTGATGTAGAGGATGTGATAGTCGACGATGTTGATGTAAAGGTGCTCGGCGCACATGTTGATGCAGAGGACGTCGTAGTCGATAATGTTGCTGTAGAGCACATGGCCGTCAGCAATGCTGATGTAGTGGACGTGCTAGTTGGCGATGTTGATGAAGAGGACGTGGTAGTTGACAATGTTGCTGTAGAGCACGTAGCCGTCGTCAATGTTGGTGTAGAGGTCGTGCTAGTTGACGGTGTTGATGAAGAGGACGTGGTTGGCGAAAGTGTTGATGTAGAGGCCGTGATCGTGGACGATGTGGATGAAATGCAGATGCCAAAGGGCTGGATATCGCCATAGCCTGCCGTGGAGCAGGACAGAAGAGACAAAGAGCATCTAAAAGGTAGCGAACCACGGGACGACCCGAACCGCGGCGTACAGTCTGATGACGAAGATGGCAAAGAAGTGCGCGACGGCACTGAACAACAGGAAGATCTTCGCCGCAGCGCACAATCTGACGACGAAGATGGCAAAGAAGTGCACGACGGCACTGGACAACAGGATGGTCTCCGTCGCAGCGCACAATCTGACGACGAGGACGACAAAGTGGCGGGCTGCTGCACAACACCACATGCAGCGCACGACGGCGCTGAACCACTGGAACTCCGTCTCATAGCACGGCTTAGAGGCGAAGAGGACGAACAAGGAGCATAGACCACAATGACATCGAGGAACAAGCTGACATGCAGCGCGAGGCTAGACATTGCTGGATCTACTGGAGCAACCAGGCTCCGCTACCAATGTGAAACGACGAGAAGGGCCCAGAGAGGGACGACATGGGGCTTGCCCTTGCTCCCGAGCCCCACATAGCTTCGGACCGCATGCCTTGCACGTCACATCTCGATTTGTACACAAATCCCTCTGGTTTCACAGTTAGGGTGTAGGGCTTAAGAGTGTTGCTTTTTAAGGGTCTTCAACGGGGTCCGCTAATGGAGTCTAGGCAGGTTCTTTAATGATGAGAACACGGTTTCGGGGTGCTCAGTATAACCACATTACACAAGCCTGAATAGCGAATAAGATTGGCAGTTTTCCCGACCCGCCCTATGCAGCTGTTTTTCGGAGCCCCGCTCCCTTATTAATCCGGGGCTCGAAGCGCAGAGCATCCCGGATTCTATATGTACAACCCTGTCGTACTCTTGTACCCGTGCCCAACCCTGAAACCTAAACCGGAGGACCTTCAGGACATTGTCCACCGCAATGCTCCCGATCGCCGCAAAGTTCAACAAGGAAACGGTGATTTCCAGCGCTAGTCCGAATTCCGCAGCAATGTCTGGCGGCATCGAGCATCCGGGCCCAAATACAAAGGTGCCGTAGTCGCTCGTTGCGGGCATACGAGTACACAGCAATAGGGCGCAATGGGCGCATGGCCATTTCTTCGCGGTCATTGGACCATTGGAGCGCCAGACCGCCCGGGCGTGAGTGAACAAGCCAGCACGCACCATGTGAGGGTCTGAGCCCATGCATAGCTGGGACAGACATGGGCCAAGCAACTGCTTAAACTCGGCGTAAGTAAACCTAACCCTGGTCTCAATTGCTCCAGAGACCCAGTCAGACCAAAACCACCCACTCTCATCCAACAACACGAGTTCGAGATCACATCTTTGTCTGCGCGAAGCAGCGTCCAAGATAAGTCTGTCCACGCATGGATAGCCATCTCTGACATCGAACGGTCGGTCAGTGAACTCCATGTAGCGTCGTTCACCAAGTCAAAGAAATCCTCGATGTCCATGAGGGACGTGATCGCGTAGAATCCTGCGTAGCAAGACCTCATGGACGCAATCAAATTACCATCGCCACTTTTCACACAAGTCGGGCCGCTTGAGCCAGAATGGCAGGGTTAGGGTGTAGGGCTTAAGAGTGTTGCTTTTTAAGGGTCTTCAACGGGGTCCGCTAATGGAGTCTAGGCAGGTTCTTTAATGATGAGAATACGGTTTCGGGGTATAGTACACAGTCAACAGTATAACCACATTACACAAGCCTTGATAGGGAGTAAGATTGGCAGTTTTCCCGACCCGCCCTATGCAGCTGTTTTTTCGGAGCCCCGCTCCCTCATTAATCCGGGGCTCGAAGCGCAGAGCATCCCGCATTCTATGTGTACAACCCTGTCGTACTCTTGTACCCGTGCCCAATCCTGAAACCTAAACATCCCAAAACCCTTAAACCCGATAAGGCAATAGCAAGCCCTGCAACACAACAGAAAAAAACACAACCCTCAAAGGTGCCCCAAACAAACCCAACACCCAACACCCCAAACCCACCCAAAACCCCTAAGCCCAAAACCCCCAAAAAACCCTAAACCCTAAACCCCAAAACCCCAGGTGGCCACCCCCTTCCAGCGGAACTCAGCACCTTCCCAGTCGGTCGAGCCCGAGACGCTCGACTTCAGGGCGGCTGTCCTGAAGGGCGGGGGGGGGTGGGGGGGGAGGAAAGGGGGTACAGGGCTTGTAGCCTTCAGAAGACGCGGCATGCTTCGGCCACAGATGATGGCAGCAGCTTCTTCGACAGTCTAAACACGCAAGATGCGACCGTAATCTGCTGCACCAATTGGCTCGAGGGCTCTGCTCGGCAGGATAAGTAGTATCATGAGTACCAGTAGTATTTATAAGTAGTACCAAAATCATTACAAGTATTCTGCTTCTTCTTCTCAATTTCCTTATCTTTGTCAACAGTACCATTGTTAATCTGAGTGCTATTGCTATCTTCATTCGGATAGCCTGTCATCTGGTACATTTGCTTCGAACATATGTTGTGACATGCGAAGCTACTGTACCGGACTGGACGCTCCTTCGCGAGTCGAAGGCGAAGGTGGCCACTGTCATTCCTGCACACGGGATACCCACTTCTATATTGTGATTGTTCTTGCTAACGCCCTATATGCCCCTGCTCTTATTCCTTCTGCCGTTGGTTGGATGCTTTAGCATTTGGTGTTGATGCTGCTGCCAATGCTACGACGACGCCGACTGCCACGACGACGACCACTAGTACTTCCGCTTGAGCTGCTGCTGTGCGCTGCGATTCCTGTCCTGCGGCGACTGTTCCCGGCTTCTTGCAGCTCCTTCCCCTTTCTGCTTCCCGGTTTAGGGTTTAGGGTTTAGGGTTTAGGAGGCTTCCCTGCCGAATGCCACCACCAACGATTTTATGACGCTCACTCTCGCGCAAAGCCAAGCAAGGTCTGATCATCGTTAACGAACATGCACCAGGTCGGTTTACACAGCACATCCTGCTGCCAGGTGAGCTTTCACGACCAATGCTTACGTGGGGTCTACGGCTCTCTTAGGGCTTGGGGTGCTGTTGCTTTTGTTCGCGCACCCATGGAGCTTTTTGATTTTGGGCGTGTACCCGCCGGAGCAAGAACTCCAAGGATCATGTCTCGCGCAGCTTTGCGCAAGAGATATGCGGATATCCAGCTTCAGCTTTCCACTTTCAACTTTTCCTTTCCACTGTGTGTTTCCCAAGTGCACGAAGCCTGACGGTCTGTAAACCCTAAACCGTCTAGCCCCGAGCCCGTAAGAATCCCAAGCCCCACCTGCACAGTTCGCATCTGCAAGGCAGCGCGCCTTGGCGCAGGCCTCGCCACTGACTGCATGAAGCGGTCTAACAGGTTCGTACACCAACTATGGCTCTAGAAGTTTAGAATTAGTCGATTTAGGGGTTCGGCCGGGCTATATACAAACCAAGATAGGCTCTGCAGTAACGATGCAGTATCCTAACCTGGTATCCCAACTCCCAAACTTCTCTAACCTCGCAGGATCTGCTGTCGGGCTTTTTACGGTTCAGGAACCGCCGACAGGCCGACAAAAATGACAGCACACTGCAGCGGCACCCCAAACCCTCAGCACCATTTAGGGGTGTAGGCAAAAGGGCTTCGGGTATCGACTCCCATGCATCATGCAGGATGGCCTCATCGCAGGAGTCTGGGTGGAAGTAGGCAAAGCCTGTCTCGCCTGCAGGCAGGGCAAAAAGCCCAAGAAGCGTTTACGCTTTTGCAACAATGTTTAGGGTTTACGGTTAGGGCTTAGCGCTAACCCAAAAGCCGAGGGCTCCATGTACCCACACAGTACAGACTTAGCCCTTAAAGTACCGATATAGGACCCCTTTGAAGCCGAAGTGCATACGATAGATATGGGAAGGCCCAAATGAGCACAACACCTTCTGCAGCATGATCTCTAGAGACCCTAAACCCTAAACCCTATATAAATCCTAAACCCTAAGTCCAAACGAGTCGGTATGAAACCGGCGCCGGGGTGCGGCTCCAGTCTCCACCGATAGGAACGTCCTGCTGGCAGCTTCTGCTTGTGAGGTCTCCAGTGTTTGCGGGATCATGATTGTGTTTAGGACCTACCCATAAGCTCCACAGTAGTTCCTTTTAAATATGAACCTCAAAAACGAACTCCAATGGAGCCTACAGGGGTTCGGGGTTTAGGGCGTGAGTTCAGGATGTCTGGCTCGAGTGCAGAGGGCAAAGCCTGCCCAGGCTCTTCTTGCACAAGACAGCGTTCGTCAAATTTCCGGATCTAAACGGTAGTCAAGCTTGGGATGTGCTCTACAGCCGGTGGCTGCTGCTATCTTGCGGCAAGAGAGAAGAGACAGAACAGTTTCCGCCGATCCTCAACTCGAATCGTCGCTTCAACCGTCCGAAGCTGCACTGCAGTCCCAGAGAGCCCAATACCCCTTCATGAAGCAATATACCTTACACTACAAGGGGCTTCATATTATGATTCAAAGGTCCCCCAATCGTCGGAGACCCCACAGAATGCCCGGATATGGGCAGCCTGTGACGTACGAAAGAGACCATGGAACCCCACGTGGTTCTGACTACCTTTCGGAATGAATTTCAGAACCGCATGGCAACCAAAGCCTAAACCCACCTACGAAACAAGCACCTCAGATGTGAAAGTAGATGCTTGAGTGGGACATGGTACGAGACCACTGTAAGCTTCAAGACGATTTCCTGACATGTTATCCTTACTTCAATATAGGGGTCGAGCTATACGCGGTAATTTTCTAGCACACATAATGTTACAGTTGCGGAATTGTGCCGGTCAAACTATCAGCCCGACGCAGTATTAAAGGATACCTATGTAAGTTTATATAAGGACTGTTTGGTATTAAACTATAGTTACTTGTGCAAGTTTATATAAGACATATTTTGAAGGGGATCCTATTACTAATGGCTAGTTGCATTGCAACCATTTGGGCGCCCCAGCACCTTCCCGGCGTAGGTGCCCTCGCACGTGTCAGCCAGCCTGGGGCCGCCGTCGCTCCTTGGACGCAGTGCCAAGACCCCTAAAGCCCGAAGTTGCCACCGGCTTCTTTACCTGTCTTATGCTTCCTGGAAAGCAGGGCCTAGCTAGGCTGTAGGCTCTTCGATTGGGGGTCCGTCATGGGCTAAACGTCTTATGAAGCCGTCTGTTTCGAAGAGAGGCTTGCTGGGCGCAGGAGCAGAAGCACACAACACAACTTGTCAGTGGCGGCTGGGAGCAGCCTAGGCTGAAAAGCAAGGCAAGCAAGCCCAACAAGCTCCAGTTGGTCAATGCCCGGAATCAACCCTGCAAGCCCTACGCCAAGTTTCAAGAGTCTTGACATATAAACCTGAACTGAAACGCTATTTCTGGATGGAGCAGGGATTTCGACGTTTGGACATGCTGAACTGTGGTGATACTTTTGGGAGGAAGTATCATGCGAATTTACCCTTATTGTCGTTTCTGAGCTGCCGCGGGGATTCGACGCCGAGCAAAGGCTGTTACTCTTCCAATTCGGCTCGCAGTAGCCGGGAAGCATCACAAACCTTTGTTGGAGGTTCAGGGGTAGTTATAAGTGGGGTTCTAAGTAGGGTAACTATACTTATAACCCCTACTAGGGGGCTTATAACCCCACTTTATAACTACCCTAAACCCTAAACCCTATAGAGCCCTTAAAGGAACCCATCTTAGGGGACTTATAACCCCACTTCATAACTACCCATGAACCTCCAAGTTGTCAAAGTTGGGTCTCTCACTCACGACTCGAACTCTCTAGGCGAGGCTGTTCGATTCGCAGTAGGAGGCCTTTCAGAAAGCTTAGGGTGTAGAGTTTGGGGTCTACCCATAGGCCCCATAGTAGTTCCTTTTTGGGCTCACTTTACAGGATTCTAAATATCAACCCCAAAAAAGAACTACTATGGGGCCTATGGGTATGCTTAACCAGCATCTGAAACACAGGGACGCCTAAATCCAACAAAGGAAGGAAACATGCACAGCCTCTGAAAAGGACGCGGCAAGCTCTGTTGACTGAGTTGCTACTGTAACTGTTCAACCTGCAACATCACCCGCGCCCTCACTACTTGGAGGGTCGTTTAAAATAACTACTTACTAAGTCCCCCGACCCTCCAAGTAAACTCCAAACACTAAGCCGTCCGGGTTGGAGGGCTTACTGCTCTCGGCTTCGAGTTGGAGAATGAACACAAGCTGGCCTTGTTCTGCCTGAGGCAACTCCAGGGCACAGCGGTCAACACCCTAAACTTTGGCCCTAAACTGTCATATCACCGGCGCCTGAAAGATAAACCTAAACGCCAAACCCATGCTTCGTCAAGGTGCGGAAAAAGCAGCCAAACTACCCACTGCGGTTGCCCGCTGACACGATCCACATTTCCTGCCATTTTCCAAGGTTGGCCCATTAAAGCCTCTGAAAACTATTCGTAGAATAAGATCCTCCCAAGCCCAATTACCCCAAGCGCTATCCAGGTGGCTCGTCGTCTGGGACCTCAGGCGGGTCCGTGCATGGATCTCCCAAGCTGCTGTTTTTTGAAGGTCTTCTGCACCATCCCGGGTTACATCAGCACGATATACATCAGCAGATTAATTTAAAGTTTCTTATAGCCTTGGATTACTCCCAAATATCCAGATGCCTAAACGGCCTAAACGGTTAAACCCTAAACCTCCAGCTCATGCCGCTAAGGAAAGTCAGTCAGGTCATCCTCTGCCTTCGAGGCCGACACCTCGACCCCGAAACGGAACACCTGCATTTCCGCAGGATTCCTGAAAAGGTACTTGGAGGCCCAGGGGACTTAGCAAGCAGGTTATAAGTAGAATTATAAGTACCCTAGCTGGAGTTGCCCCAATTGTAACCCTATTTATAGCCGATTTACTGAGTCACCTGGGCCTCCAAGTAGGTTCAGGTAGATCACTTTCTGATGGCAGAAGACCTTCCCCTGTTCTGGCACATTGGGCTGTTGTCAAACACTAAGAGCTTTCTTTGGCACTGATTACAGCCCCTAGATAGTTTCTCTCCACCAGCGCCTAAATAGTTTCTTTCTCCGTATATACAAAGTCTGTGCTTGGATAGATAGATAGCGAGATATAGATATAAGTATAGATATAAACATAGATATAGGTATAGGTATAGGTATAGATACAGATATAGATAAAGATATGGACAGATATGGATACACACACGTACACATGCGGATAAGTGTAAGTATAGACAGTATAGATAGTTAGCTAGACAGATAATTAGATAGACAGATAGATAGATAGATAGATAGATAGATAGATAGCTAGATATATAGATAAATAGAAAGACAGGTAAATACATCGATAGATAGACAAACAGACAGACAAGCGGCTAAGTTTATGGATCAGTAAGTACTAAAATTACATACAAACTGCAGGGGTAGGAACTACAAAGGAATATTCTTCGCTCTGACTTGACTGATGTCCTGATCCCCCTGAGAGCTCCACCGTCGTCGTTGTGTCCACCAACGGCCCGTCGGCGAGTGTAGAGCGCAGCAGCACGGCGGAAACGAGGAGACGAGCCATGTGCTCCGAGCCCTATAGGGACTCTCAGGTCGATTAACCCCAAACCCTAAACCCAATGAACTACAACTTGTTTCTGTTGAAAGCTTTGAACGTTAGATGCCCTTCCGAACCGAACTGAGGCTGAGGCCTCGACTATGACTTTGGGGTAAATTTTACGCGGAGCCCTAAAGAAGAGTATCGTTTAGGGTATAGGGTTTGCCACATATTCCGGCCTCCATGTGATGCTGATCCCTGTTGCTTTTGTCTGGCTTCTACAGCAGCAGCTCCGAGCCCCAAAGCAAGCTGGTGAGCACAGTTGCAAGGGTTGGGGGTTTAGGGTTTCAGGGTTTTAGGGTTTAGGGTGGTTATAGGGCTGTAGGGTTTGGAGTTCAAAGCTTACGGAGGGCATGGGGTTTAGGATGCCGATGCATCCATCCTTGAAAGGTGTCACAGGCGACAGTCCGGACATCGTCGCGCGCTTTTTCGACCACAGCCGATTGCGGGTTGTGGCCACCTGACAGCAATCCAGAAACCCCTAAACCTAAACCCTAAAACCCTAAAACCCTAAAACCTCAAAACCCTAAACCCTAAACCCTAAACCCTAAACCAGAAAAGAGTCCGCACATGTCTCTGCAGATGAGGCCTTACGGCCCCAGGTACCAACTCTTGCTTGGAAGTTCACTGTTAGATTTGACTCAACTATCTATCTATGTGGGTGGTTGTCAAAATTATGGTCCCTTTTGGGGTACCCTAAATAATAGGTGCCGTATTATAATAAGGACATCAAAAAGGACCATAATTTTGACAACCACCCATGTGTATGTCAATCCATCTGTCTATCTCTGTTGTACATATCAGCACATAGACACACAGCAACAATACTGGAACACATGTCAGTCGATGCGGGCACCAATGTGAGCTGGAAATCGGTATACTATACTTATACTACTCTACTAAGTTACTCCGCTATACATAGCTAGGCTAAGCTATACTATACCATGCTGTACTGTCTCAAACTGTACTATACTATACCATACTATACTATACTATACTATACTATACTATTTACCATTACAAGAAGAACTGAACAAAGGAACCCTTTCAGAGTCACCCCGCGGAGTCCCATCCTACATCCCTGAGGGCCTAGAGCAGCTGGAGGATGCCTTACAAAGCCCTGCATCCCGAAACCCTAAACCGCATAATATAGGGGCTTAAACAGTTACCTATATTATTTTGGGGGGTTTAGGGTTTAGGGTTATAATATAGGGGCCTAAATAATTACCTATACTATTGTGGGGGTTCCTTTTTATAAATATAGTGTAAAATACCCCCAAACCCTATTCCAAGTATTAAGGCCCCTAGACTAACGGGTTCTTCTACTTGGAGGTTCATGGCTAGCGGCTAGTTATAATTTGGGGTTATAAATAAGGTAACTAGAATAACCCATGTCGGGGGACTTATTACCCCACGTATAACTACCCATGAACCTGCAAGTAGGACTGGACCGATTTTAATGAACGGAGCAGGACTTCGAATTTTAGATATATGGGGATATAGCAGGATAGTTACACAGGGACTGTCGCAAATGTTTATATGTCGGTTTCCGAAAATAGGGGACCCTAAGATAGTACCCTAAATAGTAGGATCCTTATTATAAGGATCCCAAAATAAGGTACCCCTTATTTTCGGAAACTCCCACATGTCTGTGGATCCGGGCACAGAATCACCTTAAACCCTTTTTGCAACCAGGCCTCTTGAGGTGTTGGCGGGTTATCAGATCCCTAAACCTAAACCCTCAACCTTAAACCCTAAACCCTGAGCCTTAAACCCTAAACCCTAAATCTTAAATCTTAAACACTAAACCCTAAGCCTAAAACCCCCTGGGCGCCTTTCGGGCTCAGGCCGCGCGCAGGAACAGCTTCGCTCCATCCTGCTGCGCAGTGTCTACGGCGGCCGTAGGTGTTTCAAGGTTTTGGGGGTTGTTAGGTTCAGAGTTTAGGGTTGAGGGTTTAGGGGTTTAAGGGTTTAGGGGTTAGCGTTTAGGATGGTTTAGGGGCTTACTTAGTGAGTGTTTACCTTGACTACAAGTATGCCTTCGAGTTGTATGTAGAGTTTGAACGTTGCGGCTTAGAGTCTAGAAGCTAGAGCTTTCGGTTTTAAAGACGGTTTTTAAGCCTGTCGAATGCAGACAATGCCCTGCATAATGAAAGATTGAAAGAGTGAAGCCCTTTAACCCTGAACCCCAAATGCCTGCAAAGCCCCAAAAAACTTGAATCCTCCACGCCCGAAACTTCTGAAATTCAGGTCCTGCCTGAAGCCCACACCTTGCCAAACTCGAGCGCTCATCGACTGGGTGCGGCAGGACCGTGCCGTCACCTGGCTATACGCATCTGTATGTACGTACCGATGTGCGTACATGTACACACATACACACACGGATATGGACGTACGTAAGTATATTCTCAAGTTTGTTGTTTGCTTGTGTGTGTGTGTGTGTGTCTCTCTCTCTCTCTCTCTCGCTCTCTTTATGTCTCTCGTTGTCTCTCTCTAACTCCTTCTCTCTCTGTGCGCGTGTGGAAACACGCCTGTGCCTTTTCTCTCCATTTCTCTCATGTCCGCTTCTCTCTGTTCCGCTGTCACAGCACTTCCCGGCTCCTCGTTTCAGGCTCTGAAACTCGAAATCTCTGACTCCTCTTGCTCCTGCTCCTGCTCCTGCTCCTGCTCCTGCTCCTGCTCCTGCTCCCACTCCCACTCCCACTCCCACTCCCACTCCCACTCCCACTCCCACTCCCACTCCCACGCCCACTCCCACTCCCACTCCCACCCGCACTCTTCCTCCTCCTCCTATGACTACCACCACTGCTACCACTACTATTACTACTACTACTACTACTACTACTACGACGACGACGACGACGACGACGACCACGACCACGACCACGACCACGACAAATACGACGACGACGACGACGACGACGACTACTACTAGTACTAGTACTAGTACTAGTACTAGTACTAGTACTAGTACTAGTACTAGTACTACTACTACTACTACTACTACTACTACTACTACTACTACCACTGCCACTGCCACGGCTACAGCTTTGGCCGCGGTTCCTGCTACTGCAACTACTGCTGCTGCTACTGCTACTACGACTACTATACGACTACTACGACTACGACGACGACTAGCTACTGAGGGCCATTACGCTCCAATAGTTCCTGCTGAGGTTGACGTTTGCAGGACCATCATCGGACCCAGTCGCCGCTCCCGGCCGCATAGAGACGGCTCTGCGCCAGAGCAGGCAAAGAGGAAGCGGCGCCTGGCAATCGCAGGTGGGGTCTTTCGTTCGAGTGGCAACGGGCACTGCATGTCTTTAGGGCTTCGGGTAATGTAGGGGCCTAAATATTTACTAACTTAGGGTTCCTTACTATGGTTATCGTATAATAGACCCCAAAAACACTATTCTAATTATTAAGGCCTATATGAGCAAGGCTGGCACCTGACGACTGTTCCAGAGTCCGGAGGCCCTTCTACGTCCGGGAAGGCGGTGGGGCCGGTCTTCGCGGCTGAGGAATTAGGGATTTAGGGTTTAGGGGTTTAGGATTTAGGGTTTACGACTTAAGGGTTTAGGGTTTAGGGTTTAGGTGTTTAGGGGTTTAGGGGTTTAGGGTCTAGGCTAGGACATTTTCAAGTGGGTAGTTCCGGTTATAGCAGCCTTATAGAAGATCTATATACCTTATAGAAGCCTTATAGAAGCCATATATACCCTAAACAAAGCAGAAGTACTGCCTTAGCCCCTGAAACTTGTATAGCATTGGAACAAAGCTGAACAACAGGGGGGTTTCCGCAAATAGGGGGCCCTACTACCGTACCCTATAAATAGTAGGATCCAAATGAAAGGACCCCAAAAGAAGGTACTCCCTATTTTCGGAAACTCCCATATGGGGGTTTCAGAAAATTGGATCCTTATTATAAGGACCCCAAAATAGGGTACCCTGATTTTCGGAAACTCCCATATAGGTCCTACGGCGTTGAGGATCGCCTTCCTCGCTGCAGGCATCCGCAAAGCGGCACCACCTTGGGGTTTAGGGTTTAGGACTTATGGGGTTTAGGGCTAAGGGCTTATAGGGGGTAGGGTTTCGGGCTTATAGGCCTTGGGGCTTAGGGCTTATAGGGTTTAGGGCTTATAGGCCTTAGGGTTTAGGGCTTATAGGGTTTAGGGTTTCGGGTTTCGACTCACACACACACACACACACTCGCACAAGGCTGGCATGGCAAGGAGGTCCGAGCTTGCTACAGGGTTTCGGGCTTAGGGGTTAGATGCTCGGAACCCCGTTCCTGAATGCTCGGGAAACGGAATCAAACATATCAACGTTCTTTGCTTTATGCGTGCTTGTGAGACGTTTTAACATGCAAGTATACCGAAGTACATTCCTAAGGCTCGTCTTTACAAGAACTTGTAACAGCCCCACCTCAACCGATATGAAAACCCGCATGCAAGGTTTGTCAAACCATTCTAAGAGCCCTAAAAGCCTGATAATACTCTGATGAATACCCTCTAAACGCTGTTAGGGAGTATAACACTCTATACGAATCTTATCATAGGATTATAAGGACCCTAATATAGCACCCTAAATAGTAGGATCCTTATTATAACTTGTAAAGAGAACTTGGAGACGCCTTTGAACGCACATGTCTCATCAAACGCCTTCTCGTCTCCTTTGCACGAATTCCCTTTTTGATCAGGACTTGTGCGCGAATTTCCCTAAACCCTAAACCCTAAACCTAAACCCAAAGCCTGAGACTGCAGATTCGGCACACTTCCAGCTGCGCGTGGGCGCGCTGCTTGATCGCAAGGACGGTCTCCGAGGACCAGGCCTCCATTACTTGTTGATTTGATCTATTAGGGTTTAGGGGTTTGGGTTTAGGGTTTAGGGTTTAGGGTTTAGAGTTCGGTTATTCTGGAGCTTAGGGTTAAGGGTTCTGAGACCAATCGTTACAGGTATTTGTAGTGTTA